GTACCTGGAATTGAATGATTTTCTCAGTACCAAGTGATGCTTTAATTGCTGATGCTGACGAGGCATAAACCATTTTCTTCTTAATTGATGCGCCATCAGGGCATCTGTAATAGATTGAATTAGACGTTCACATGTAAAGACAAAAAAATTACATAAAAAATAATTCATTCCTATTTTTCTTCCTCTGATCGTTATCAATCTGTTTTAGGATAGATAGATAGATCGAACAGTAAAAAGTGCTACAGAAATATCACTTCAAACCGAGGTCATATCAAAATGATTCTTCTTTCTTTCTTTCTTTTTCTATTTTTTTTAAACTTTTATTTTAGCATTTTTGATGGGGAGATTTTTTTTTTTTTTAAATCTTTTTGTCCCTCTTCTTTATTGATTGATTGATTGATTGAAATCGTTTACTGATTAGAGAAAGTAAACAATGATATCGGATAGAATACTATTATTTAACTATTTTAAAGTATAAGAGAAATATAATTATATAAATACTGCTTATAACTGCATTACTGCCAAAGAATGAATAGATTATATTATATAAAATGTAGGTTAATTGATGGATTAGAATGTGTGATAGGTGAAAAAGTTCATCATAGTTGGTGATAATCTTTATTTTACATGATTGACATTAGATTATAATATGGTTAAGCAATTTTTCTAAATTTAGCAATATATAGGCATGATTTGAAATTTCGCTTATATTCTCTTCGATTCAATCAATCTCAGATTTATTTTAATCTCAGATTTCAATTCGTAAATTTAATTTGGAAATTTATGCTATTCCTTGCTAAGGATTAAGCAACAAAATGAATGATATTAGCATCTTACCCGAAAACTATACATTTGTATGCCACATCCGGCATACAAATGTATATTATACTGGATGCCTAATGATATGGATCAAGTTATCGGTATGCAAGCAAATGTCGGAAACAAACGAAGTGTCGATTTTAACGACCCATAAAAATCTTAAAACTATCCCCACCTCTGTTCAGTCTTCTCTCTCTCCAATTTTTGTAGTATCGCGAAGAAACGGCAATAATGAACTCATTTGGATTAGAGTAAAAGGAAAGGAAGTAATATCGTTAACACCTGTAATTTTATATAAAGTTTCATGTATACTGCAGCGCAACATTACGCATGAAGATACAGATATTCCATTCTGATCGCTAATGCCGCTGGCTTTATTTTAGACATTTTTTTTAATGAAAAATTAAAAGGAAATATGGATATGGCCATTGATGATGATAAAACAGACAACGAAGGATCCTTTTCCTCGCTTAGCATCACTATCTACAAGGCTTGAACTGCAAGGACATTCCAGATGTCAAATATCAAAGCCATTGGAAAGCCATCAACTCTGATTCAGCTTATCAGTATCAAGTAACAGTCTTTATAACATTTCCTCTGGATCAGAATTCCAATAGTTATCCAGTTATCCTCTACCGTAAGTAGGAAATGTCACACAATCGACCCTCTATGCTTTCCTTTACCATTAATGCCAATTACTATTTCAAGAAACAAATACATGGTTAAGGAATTGCTACGGGTCATCCTGCTTTTGAATACTCTGCAGTATATATTTTGTTTAATGAAAATCAAGGTACTCAACGAAAGTGAAATCCATAATAAGCGCACTCTGCAGAACCTGACATGATACTGTTTTCCTTTTTTAATTCCACTTAGATGTGGCGGACATTACATCATGGAAATGATTTTATATACAGAATACATAGCAACCATACACTCGCATATATAAGTACAGGAAGATTTAACGAAGAATGTTTTTTTCGCTTTTTTAAACTTACGTAAAAAACGTGATAAATACACATCGACAACTATGCATAATAAGAACCAATCGATATACATATAAAAGCTCACATTTCATCTGATGAAATCGTCTATAATAATCTCATAGTATAAAACAATGAAACAATATCTTACTTCGAACGCAGTAAAACAGCAGTAACTCAGGAAGACTTCGGTGCTTATTTCTAGATTAAAATCGCCACCACACCAATCACGATTTATGAAAGAGCAATCAAGTAGCGTCAACAAATGCATACCGCTGCCGTTCGTAACTTCTCTCCTTCGATAAATAAATTGTAAAAATCACCATGCCAAACTCTGGATCAACCGAAAAGCGTTATAACACACATTGAGCAAACACGATCGAGAAAACAAGCATCTATTTCGGATAAACAAAAGCTTCAATTATCCCTGGCTCTATGAGATTCCAAATCTGTAAACCACGGCTTCCAAATTATTCGGAGAAGCAACACCGCATTGGTTAAATGAATTACGGGTATATTTACAGCGATAGATATACTGCACTTGTTTTCAACGTCGATTTGTTGTTCCAAATCCATTTTCCATACTTGTCCTTCGCTCTGGATGCAGCAAAAGCAGTTTTTCTTCAAGAGCCTGCAAAATTTATCATTCCGTAAAAACCTTCAAGATCCCGCAATGTAGAAAACCAACTTTTTAGATAAAAACGATACTAAAGTTTTGCGAATCTGAATTAAAAAACACCTGAATCGTTTCAAGAAGATTGACAATAACCGGTGAAACGCTACTTGCTAATGAAGGCGGCAAGCAGTTCACACGTGAGCCAATGCCCTTCGAACTTGTATCGGTGAATAATCTTTTTCTGTTCACATCATGAGGACAAACATCATAATCTATAACAGAATAAAGCTACTGAAGCGAGAGGAAACAAGAAAATCCGAAAGATTTTTGCGATTGTCCCTTGCCGGACAGAACACATTTTGTGAAATGAAAACTTTTTTGGCTTACCGAAGAGGCAAACTAATTTCGCGGATTAAAATTGCTTGGAAGAGAATGCATCAATGAAATAAAAATTGCAAAAAAACATACCTTCATGGGAAGCGAGACCATTTGTTACTGACCTTGCTCGCTGTGATGTTCCATTATTCTGTCGTCCTACAATTTTAATTCACTAATGCCCCCCAATTTATACCAATTGTTCGACTGAACAAATTACGAGCCGTATAATACAGCCTCAAGAAACGTCCACTCATCAAGTGCCATTGGTTGTCTGGGAATGCATAACTAACGTCAATCAAAAAATACATGAGTATTCCACTATTTAACTACCGTTAGCACACAAATGACCTACCAAAGTATTAACTTGAGATTATAGAAAAATATATTACGCCGTACCTCGAAACTAACTAGCCTTTCCCATTAGCAATGAAAAAAATTTCATTGGATCTTAAAAAAATGGCAATCATAATGATAGTAACCAGAATACCGTCACGAAAAAAATCTTTACCATTTTTCATTTGAATTAAATCCCCAGAACTGCATTTCTCCTGAATAACAGGCAACCCATTAGACTGATTAGAAACTGAACAGTTCGACAATTTTGTATCCTTTACCATGCCATCTAATTTTAAATCCCGAACTTCATCTTCTAATCTTTGGCAACGAACCTGCAACGAACAGCATACATTAATAGCTGGAGATCTCCCAGTTCTAAGTTCTTAATAAAAATTTTCTTCATTAATGCACGCAATACCTACTATCAATGTACTTCTAGTTACGTGATTAGTAATTTGAAATGTCTTATTCTACCAACTAACATGAAACAGTGTCTTCTTGGCCAAAAAGACATTACTGGAATATGTTTCCGCTATGTTTGCCTAATATTCAACTGTTGCTACTGTTACTGTGCTCAATAAGTACAAAAGCCTTTGATAAATCAGATAACTTAGACAAGCTAACCTTTAGGTCTTCCTTGCTGTCGAGTTCTGTGGTGAGTAATGCTCGCATTTCCAGTTCTTCATTTAATTTTTTTTCAGTGTCCTTGAGAGTCTCGCATGTTATCCTAAAAGCACTCGAAGAATTGATGTTAAAAAGCCAAAAATGCATTTAACCGGAAAAATCCGAATTTTGAGGATTTCAACAGAATGAAAGTATTTGGGTTGTCACTGCAAATGATTCAATAACAGCGAAATAAATTTAGAATATCAGGAATGAATTATATACCTTAATTCTCTCTCCAAATCGTCATTTTTCTGCTCAAGTTTATGGACAGCACTCATCAAATTTTCTTTTTCAACTCTCAGTTCCTGCAATTCATCGGTAAGTTTCGTATCTTTGCTGTATTGTTCAGCACGGAACCGTTGAGCTTCCTCCTGAAAAAGGAAGAAATAAGAGCTAAAAAAATAAGGATAGGAATACGAATCCCAATAATTAAATCTTCAAAGAGTAGCAGTTGCATAACAATATTACAGTTGCATTCAAAATCTTGAGAATTACATAATGATAGCTTTGTCGAAATGCATAGATATCGTCAAGATAGATACATCCTCACAATATTTCCTTTAATATAACTAAAGCATTAAGCATAATGAATATGGATATAAAGTTGCCACATTTACTATGTACATCATCTTGAACAGTCAAAAACAAACCTTATATCGATCTCGCTCTTGTACCAAAACAGCAATTTCCTTTTCACGTTTACTTAACGATAAGTTGGCTTCATTCAGCTCTTTATCCAGCTCAGCTTCAATCTGCTGACTAAATGTTACAAAGTCTTTCAATTCGTTTTTTGCTTCGTTCGCTCTGAAATTCTGTTTCAGTTATATTACACTGTGGTATTAGGATCCAGATTTTATTCTGTAATATTCAAATTGACGTACTATTATTCCATTTATCTTTGAAAATGAATAGTTTACTCTTGTTTGTATCGTTCCGCTTCTGCACGATACTGTTTGACCAACATTTCCCAATCCATCATTGAAATATAGCCTTCTTCTCTTGGTCTTCCCACTGTTACCTATAACAAAACGTGGAATTCTTTTGTGCTCGTATCGTCGCAACCACGAACTGTCCTATGGTTCTTTTACTTACTATCGAACTGTTACTTTGCCTGGCGTGATGGGAAGAAACTACCGTCTTACCAACGGGAATTACAGAAAACTGCTCGCATCCATATACCTTTACCAATTTGATCACATGACCAATATTATGTGCCGACATTTTGGTTAACGGGAATGAAAATCAATATTACATTCTTTCTTGCATTTAAACACTAATAACTACTAATCATCCGACGCCTATAAGTTCAAAGATTGAAAACAATTGTGAGTTGAAGCAATTACTAGCAACAAGGTTACTTCTAGTTAAAAAGCTCACAGGCTATGTTAAAAAATCATTGTCTATCGAACATCTAGAAATATACGTGGAAAATCATTATCTATCGAACATTTAGAAATACACGTCGATGCGATACATGGCTGTTCAGATAAATAACACGTACGACGTAATATTATCCATGTGAGTGACTAGTAATAACTATGTGACATGCGATGTTCTGTTCGATCATTAGCGCTTCTACTAAGTTTTTTTTCTAAAACCATAAATGGAATTCCGTCTCAACCATCTTAGAAATTGAAATCAATACAACGATTTGGCCATGTCAGAAAAGCCTAACACTGCCCATTGCCTTGACCAATTAGCAGTAAAATACTAGAATAAACCAACCCGGCAAATGAAACGCTGTGTTACCAACCATTGGATCAAACCAGTACTTATGTCACTCCTTCATCCTTATATTAAGGTTGAGCATTGAGCGGAAGTTCATTTTCATTATTGGTTTGTTCGTGACCGGTTTGGAATGTTGGCCGGTTTATTGCGGGGAATAAGAGGGTTTTTTGATTCGGGTTAGTATGAATATGTTGTCGGGAATTTAGTATGGTTATGCACAGTTATATTGTTCTGAAAGCTATAGTCTATCCGAATATAATCAGGAATTCCTAGATATTTAATTATGTGTTGACTAGAAAACAGCCCTGAAACATTTGCCTATTTATATTCATTTATATTCTGAACTTACAATTTTGTAAAACTGTTATTTCAATTATCATCTACCCATTGATGTTTTGAAGCAGGTCATGTTTTAAACTCTTGACTCTTTAAAGGTCATGTTTTATAGTAGAAAAGTCATAGGTGGTATTCATTAAATGATACTTGTAAAATTAATGGATCAGAAGGGTTGACGATTATGGCATAAAATGAAGTTGTCATGAGAATGAAATCCAAACAAAATATTCTTAAGCTTAAATGTAAACTTCACTGGGTTCAGTATGTGCATAGACTCTCGTCGATTTGTTGTTAATACGAAGTTAACGGAGGCCAGGGAGCAAAGCTTCCTCTTTTCTCCGTCTTTCTTGTTTCTTATTAGTTTGACGGTTACCATCATTATTTCTTGCTCCTATAACGGATGAATACCGTATTCACTTTCGAGCGCAATGTGCGTTTAACCTAGGATTGGGTAAAATGGTACATCTATAGGTTCATGTCAAAACGCGTGTTTTAACAGCTCGAGCATACTACTTTGTGTTATTAGAACACTGACTGGTACTGTGATTAAAAATAATGATGGTAATTGATGAGCCAACGAGCTAGGAAATATTAGCAGAGATACAGCGTTTTTCTGTCCATCGATGTGTAATTTTCGGAGGTAATTTAAGATGCCGCTTAGATTAACTTCGTCAAAATTGCATACTGATATATGTAGTTACTCTTGGCTGGTTTGGCTTCGTCTTTATTCCTGATAGATATCAGTGGTGCTAAACGGTATGACATATATTAAAATCAAAGGTACTAATGAACGAAACTCTTGTCCATAAAAAGTATCATTCTTAATTGGAAGGAAGCAGCACCGTGGTATTAAGACCTTCTATTCTCTATCCTTCTAAAGCATATTTAACTTATTTTTTCAGCTTTTGTTACAAGCACTTGCTACGACGGCATGCAAGCAATTAAATGTGTCGTCGTTGGGGACGGGTAAGATTTTTGGCAATTTTTAGTCTGCAGATAGGAAAGCTTTTAGCCAGTAGTTTAATTCGTTGTTGAGTAAAATCTGTGAGGGTGGGCGGAAAAAAAATTGGAGAAAAAAATTTGGTGATATATCTAAAATCCCAAACATTCACTCGAAGACTTTGCTGCTTAGTAGTTTAAAAAATTAACCATTCCTTGATCAAGACCATATTTTAAACTGTAAGTAGCGTAATAATACAAATTGTAGGTGACAGGTGGCAGTGATTAATTATGGATAATAGGTAATAGTAATTTAGGAGTAGAGTTGAACAGAACTCGTTCTTACTGTAAATGATTTGAAATTGTTAAGAATATGTTTTATTCAAACAAGAATTAATTGTAAAGTTATTCCCTATACTTGCAGTGCTGTGGGTAAAACGTGCCTTTTAATCAGTTACACTACAAATGCGTTTCCGGGCGAATATATTCCAACAGTTTTTGATAATTATTCGGCTAATGTTATGGTCGATGGCAAGCCGATCAATTTGGGTTTGTGGGATACTGCCGGTCAGGAAGATTACGATAGATTACGACCACTCAGTTACCCACAAACCGTGAGCGAACTGTTGATTTTACGATGTTGCTTTTATTTTTTTAGCAATTAATTATGTCTGGCTGACTTTGAATTTAATTAAAAAGATGAGGTAGGTTCTATCTATGGCGTGAACCCACTTGATTATTCAGAACTATATGTTCTAGATCTTTTTAATCTTTGTTCAATAATATTATCATTCCATACCATCTTTTGCTTGGTTTTTAATAATTTATTTCAGGATGTCTTCTTAATATGCTTTTCACTGGTAAATCCTGCTTCTTTTGAAAATGTGCGCGCGAAGTGGTATCCCGAAGTTTCGCATCATTGCCCAAATGCACCAATCATATTGGTGGGAACAAAATTGGACTTAAGGGAAGATAACGAAACGGTTGAAAGACTTCGTGAAAGGCGCTTAGCTCCAATCAGTTATTTGCAAGGACTGTCAATGTCAAAGGAGATTAGTATGTTCTGATTTCCTTCGTGTTCGAAGAATTTGTTCCGATTCTTTGCGGGATGAATGTACGTGGGTTGAGGAAAGAAAAAGTGATTTTCTTCTTAGGAGGCCTCCTTCCACAATTCTTGATATGGATGCATTTGGCGTTTGATACTGTCAACATGGGGACACGTGTTGCACGGTATCAACAAGTTGAATACTCTATTTCTATCATATTCTATTGTAACTATGTTTACACATTAAGTCTCCTAATTGTTTATTTAATAAAATAATATTTGACAGATGCTGTGAAGTATTTGGAATGTTCGGCATTATCTCAAAAGGGGCTGAAGCAGGTATTCGATGAAGCCATTCGAGCTGTTCTAATTCCTCCACCAAAGCCTAAGCGGTCAAGGAAATGTACAATATTTTGACGTTGGAGAGATGACGAACTTGCAGAACGATTTTTATTTATGTTCATCGGTGGCCAATTACTTACCATACTTGAAAAGCGAGCTGACTTTGCACATAATATTCTAATAATATCGTGTAGATTATTATGATGCTTTATCAATTATTAACTAATTATAAATTTATTGCTTGCGTATGCCACACGGTAACCATTCTCGAAATTGATAGAAATAAGAATATATTGCGAAGTATCAGCACTTAGTGAACGTTTTGAATATGTAATTCAACCCTTTTTCCATCAAAGAAGTCATCTTTATTATCCGCTTCCTTGGTTGTTTGTCTTTGCTCAAGACTCTTGAGTTTTGAAAATGTTGCGTCGTTTCTGTATTAGGCAATGAATGTTGTTCAAAACTTAGCCTACGTGACCATATGCGATATCACTCAGCTTGCATAATTTAAATAACATTAAGATGTGCAAAAATCAGTAGAGATTTGGTCGCCCGGTGTACAGTTGTGCCACCACCAGGAGACGGTTTTATCTTCCTCTTTACTTCAGTAAATTGTTGTCATAGAGTTATGAATTTATTGTTCCTCTTATCATGCTACATTCATTTAATTTATTGTAACAGGTGGCAAAAAGTGTGTTTTATTACTAAGGTCTGTTTTAGATAATTGTAGTTTTAACTTTATTTTTTTTTTTGAAAGTGTGCTAGGGTTTTCATTTATTGTTACTTCATGGATTTTTTTTTGAGGAGTGGAAACTGAATTGATGGATATTTTTATTTTGCTGATTTTTCCAAATGCTGTTTGAAATAATAGATACTCTAGAAGGGAAACGGAGACAAAGCTTTTATCACCATTCCTCTCAAAGTTCTTAGTTGGTTAGTTGAGTTTTAAATTTCGATTTAAGACAACATTTTTCTTGAATAGAATAGTTGTTGGTTTTTCCGCATTTCCTACAGTTATTTTATTGCTTATTATTGGTTGTGGAGATATACTGGTGTGGTAACAGACTTGATAGCGTGTTTGCTTGTATGTGTATGTGCGTTTTGTGTCCGTGTCCGTGTTTGGTTTAGCCATTATTTGGCTTATCTGTTATGGATGTGCACTTGTCATTTACATTATCAATTAATATTGGTGTTTAAATTGTACCTGGAATTTCCTCTGTCATTGTTTCTTGTCTCCCGCTGCCAAGTTAACCAAAATAGCATCATGACTTTATTATATAGTCACGTGTTTTGCACCTCATTTCATGATTGCTATTTTCTCCTTTTCATCTTATGGCAGCAAATCTGCATAATTTTAGGTGGAAATCCTCTTTCTTATCTGTGAAGATTTCAAAACGTAATGATCCTTTTTTTAGTTGTATTTTGACCCACAATTTATATCAGCCATATAGTGCCTCTGTTTTCAACACATCTCGTTGACAAAAAAAGCAAGAGAAATGCTTTGTATGAAGTTTAAGAAAAATGCTTGTTCTTGCTGTTTATTCTATTGTTTTCCTTTCTTTTTGTTTTGGATACATTTGTATATTTTATTTCATTTTAAGCATTCATCCAATCGCGAAAAATCTGAATCAAATGGCTGTTTGTAATCAACGAAATTTCCTATCGAAATTGGAGACAAGTTGTTTCAATTTTCTGCCCTTGAAAGCATATAACTGAAAAATACGTAAAAACGCAATTGTTATTGGTCAGGAAATGATGACGATGGAAACTCAGGAGGAAGGCTTCATCTGCCAGCATTTCGTCAGTCATCGCGGTTATCCATCATCATTGGTGTACTGAGTCGTAAAAGAAATAATTTGCGGAATTAGAATGCCTGGGACATATTATTGATAGCAAATTACTAGCTTCGGTAAGGAGTTCATGTTGGTTCCGTGCAGCACCAATAGTCCTCCGGCGAAACTTTATGTCCGTGTCATATCAGCGCGAGGGTTGCCTGTCATGGATAAATCCAGTGTCACTACGGATGCTTTCGTTGAGGTCCATTTCGATAATGAGGTTAAGGATTTTTCCGTTAGGATGAATTTTTTAGTACATTTCCTCTTAAACACCGAACATTTATTACAAAGTGCAGAGTTTTGGGTAAGGTGACATATGTTACTGAGAGGATGCCCACAACTCCATTTTATCCACTGGAGGTTGAGCGGTCCAATATACCAATAGTTCAAATGAATTCATCTAAACAGATATCTTTATTAACTTAATTTTCACAGATCTCTACGCCAGTAGTCATTTGAGTCAGTGAACGAGTGAAGTGCTGCATTGAATGACCTTAATAAGGACTTTTTTAAGGTTTACAAAACCGACGTCTGTGGTAAAAGTTTATCACCAGTGTGGAATTCTGATGTGTTTGTTTTTGAAACGGATGAGCAACGGTTATTTGATAATCCGATCCAGTTTCGGTAAGCCATCGCATAATAAATATTCATCAAGAGATGAACTTACAAAGTGAACAACTGAAATCTCAGCTTTACAATGAACTAATGCCACAATTTTTTAGTGGAATTGTTTCGTCATAACTAATGCTTGAAATTTAGTGTAATGGATCATGACACATACAGTGCAAATGATGCTATCGGACGTGTATTCTACGATTCCAGTTTGTTGGTTTCTAAAATACGGTGCAGCAAAACTGATGATAATAGCATGGAATTCACAAATTGGCTGCCAATTTATGATTCGGTTTACGGTGAATTTGTCCTTTCTTTTTCATTGATGTAATTTTTTGGAGTTTTATGAAGTCGAATTATATATCATTTCTTTTTGTATGTTGTATTTGTAGGAATAAGGGGCGAAATTCAAATATCTATCTCGCTTAAGTTGCTGTTGTCAAGTGATCACGGATATGTACGCATACTTTCAGGTAGGATATGTACGAAGTATAATTAAATTTTATGAAAATCATTTTATGAATTAATCATCACCGTTATGCATTCGTTTGCTTGCTATTCATTGCGTTGCTGAACTCTTTCCAGTTGGGTTTGGAAGATTGATTTATTCGTTTATTGTGGTACTTCATTTCTCTTTTGAAAATATCTTTGGCAAAACTGAACTTTTTAACGTTGCAATAAATAATGCTAAAAGATTTAGAGGGTCTCTTAGCTTTCTTTGACTGCAGTTTTTCGTAAAAATGCTCATCAAAAATCTTGTGAAGGAACTAGCATTTATTCTTCATTTTGCTGATACCGAAATATATCGATAGAATTTAAGCGAGCACCATATCAGCATTATTAATCAACGATATTATTGGACTGGTTTCCGATATTGCTACAGTGACGGATCCAGAGTACGAATGGATCGACCGAATCCGATCTCCACGTGCTTCTAATGAGGCCCGACAAAGCATAATTCGGAAATCGCTGCGCGAATTAGCTAGAAATATTGCGCAGAAAGCGCATTCTCTCGGGTCGAATGCAGTACTTGGGTAAAGGATTAATTTCAAGTATAATTAATTCAGAAATGGTCCTCATGTTATTTATTTAAGGTATCATGAATTTGTTGATATCGAAGGTGTTGCCACCGGACTGATTACCTTTCGAGCATTCGGAACAGCAGTTAGACTATCGCAGACGGATGGGGAAGTTGCAAATGGTGAAAGTATAAAGCATCATATATTGTCATTGAAGGTTTTACCGCATATGTACAGTTATAAATGTGGTGTTTTCGTGTGCGCTCGTTCCGCTCAGGTGCTGACAGATGACAGCGATACTGCTACGATCAGAAAAAAGTTCTTTCTTTCATGGTGCTTTAACCAAGAAATGCAACTTAGATACTTCATTACTGTTCAAAAATGATGGCGGTTAGGTATAAAAGTAGAAGCATTGAGGCGTATTTATGGATTTAAACCACTGATAGTCTAATAAGTAAATGATAGACCCTCTGGATAGATTTTAAAAAAAGAGGTAACGGTGAAAAAATATCAACAGCTCCATAAACACTTAAAGTGTTGATATTCTTTCAGAGAGTTTATCATCTATTATTTATTTTATCAAACATATGATTATTCCCACACATTATGATGTTATGTGTGGAAATCGAATAAAAACTATTTCATTATTACTTTTCAACCTTTATTTCAGATGGTGGAACGATTTAAAAATCGAACTTACTCGTCAAACATTAAGTTTGCACTGCAATTTAATTGTTGGGTACACTGAGCAAATTAGCATATATAAGAAAATGGCGCTGTTGAGCTGTACAGGGACTGCAATATCTGTGGTTTTAACAGGTGCTGAACATATTCCATATTGTACTAGATTCCATACTGCATGTTTTAATGATGAAACACCAACCAATCGAAGCATTAATTTGTGTTCCTGCTGCAAATTACCGTATGTTTACTTAGAAGTATTGTTTATATTTATCTAAATTTGCTGCATCTTCAAGATATCCAAGATACTGGATCCATGCTCTCCTACTTTAATTTTCATTTTGTTATGCTTTCATCAGTTATTAATAATTTATTAGGTTTGGAAGAGATTTTGAATATCTACTGATTTTGACTTTAACACTGTTGAAGTATATCCGGAAAACTTTTTCATTGATTTTTTTTAGTGATGCAGTTTGCCCTGACATCATCCTTAGCAGTTGTTCATTACCAGCATCAGACTATCTGCACGGCACCATTCGGCCATTGCAAATTTATTTTAAACGTGAAGTAAATTTCTCAGAAAGCGACGATCAATTGGCTTCTACTATTAGCCATGTAATTTTTCCAGCAGATTTTATGATCTCCATTTTTAGTTCTGAAAGTTTAAAATGACGTATCCTTTTGCTTCAGTCACTACCATTTTTGGAACATGAACTTCACAATAAATTGATGGAAGAAATACGAAGCGGAAATACAAAATGCAATGCAGTTTTCGACTTAAAATCCGTTTTGGTTATCCAGGAAGGTGCTTTATTTGCTGTTATTACGGGTGCGTTATGTACACTCAAGGCACTACTGGTAAGTTCCGACAACGTTGTTATGCTGTAAATTTCTCGAAATCTACATTTGAATTGTTAATGTAGCCCGTTTATTGGTACAGCCACCATTGCATGCTGTACAAACTTGTCATATCATCATTTTTTAACTCTCATTTAATAAAAAAGAAGAAATGCTGGAAATTTTAAATGATTTTCCATTCAGAAAACCAATGGGTTCCACATATTAAGTCACTCCGATTCTGTTCATCAGAGTGATGACCTTCGATTAGCGCCACGAGTGGGATTGTTAGAAGCGGCTCGTATTTTGCGTGCACCCAGATTTTTCGATAAAGCTGGATTATACTTACAACCATTACACATCCGGTTAATCTTCACATCCGAATTTTTATTTCTCATTATAAGCAACTGCATTATCTCTTATCATTGCCATTTACTATCTATTGTTCGATAAGAAATAGCATAGTTTTAGGTGCTAAGCTACCAGTTTTTTCATATACGTCTCAAGGCAAAAGAAAGCTTCTTCGTACTTGCAGAAATTGAATGGAATAGTGTAGTTTATGAATTAGTTTTCATGAGTTAGTAGTTACTAGTTTTTTAAAAAAAATGAAATTTCTGTAAGGAAAAGTGAGTTAATGTATACATGTGAACTTTAGGGAACAAGCAGATGACTTCGTCAATGGGCTGCCGCAGTCAAATTACAAAAAGGTAGTTAAATGCTTCCGGAAGAAAGTTGTTGATCGTGAGCGCCTAGCGAAGATGATTTCGGAACGCGAAATCAGCTTACAGTTGGGTGCATTTGATGATATGAAATCGGCTACCTGGTCGCCTAGCACGTATTCTGGTATCAAAATAAATAGCAGTTCTAAATTTAATATCAGTGCGAAATCTGCCAAATCTTCAAATATTCCACAAAGGTAAATATTCAAATTTTGGTGCTCATCTCTTTACCCACTGTCAAAATTGATAAAAATCCTTGATTTTAATTTCTTCTCTTTTTTAAAGGTATGTCGGAATTTTAATTCGTGAAGTAACGAGAACAGTGGAAAATATTGATGACTTGGATACATTTCTGGATGGAGCTTTACGTGACTTAATGAGCTTAGCAAGTAGCAGTGTAGAAACTCTCGGTGCCACATCATTTTCTGTTTTTAAAGTACCTTCAGTGAGTCTTTCAATCTCCCGTGATCAGGCATCAGTATTACTGTTTATTACTGCCGACTTTGATTATCCAATCAATTTGTAGAATTGCTGTTAATATCAAGTAGTAATGTAAAAAATAGGAGAGTTTCCATTTTCTAGTCAGATGAGATTTATACTACAAATCTGTTTAGAAATTTATTAATTTCCAATCTTTCTGTCATTCATTTGTTTACTTGTCACGACAGATATGGAAAGGTTTGAATTCTGCAATCGAAAGAGTTCATCAATATTGAAATTAGAATGACGCACAAAATTCACCTTTCAAATTCTTTAAAATTCGTGTAAAATAGTTGTGTTATCAATATAATCTTTTTCACCCTAACTGACAGTGCATAGTAGATATCAGCCCTTCACTATTTGACAACAATCCATAACATTTGAATAAGCAGAAAATGAGGTAACTTCAACAATAATGTAACGTAGAGTCGCAACATTACTATCAGGTAATAAGTCGTAATGCCGTTTCTTAAATTCTTTAAAGCATTCATAGCATTTCGTTATATGGCCTTTGACGTAGTATTTATTTTGATCTCTTGTGTATTTTTAGTCGTTATAAATGATTTCATAGATCGCATCTCTGTGTTACGTTTTCATATAGGCTTTTCTGTCCCTAAATGTGGTGTATCACGTTTGTAATAATTGTTTTACTTCAAGCAGATACCAAAACTTTCAGATTCATATCTTTTAATGCAAATAAATTAAATGGTAAGTTTCGCAAAGGGAATAGGCACATTTGACATATACCCAAAAAAAAATTGCGAGTGTAATTTTAGCTGAAATGTAGCGTATGTATATGTCTGCACCATGCGATTGTTTCATGTAAACGAATAAAAGCATATTGCGTGTGGAGAACATTTTTTGCGATCAAAGTCACTTCATACATTTTAGAAAGAAAAGACCTGATTTTGAATCAGTATGTTTGTCTAAAAGTTCTGATTGGATAGAAAATGTTTCTGTCGTGACATTTTCACATGGTGCACTAAAAGTTACAGCGACATGCAGTTCTTCGGCCAGGTGTTTTTGCTGCAAAATACAGCTGCAACTTCAACTTTATCAGAGAAAACATTATGGGCGATTGGTGACGTCAATAACCAATGAATATATATCCCTCATAAGTTAAATACTCAAGAAAAACTCGGGAGGAAGGGGGCGTGCTTCGATGTAACTTAATGAGTGCATGAAGAAAGAAGTTGAAATTGTCTTTTTTTTGCCTCCGTTGCACTATAATTCTTATCACCATATCCGTCTTCTCTTTCTTTCTTACTAAACAGTTTAGTTTTTGATTTAAATACTTGATATTAGGTCAAACTTTGTTTGCGAACCACTACATTTTCACAAACTTTATCCCCATCTCTTAACCTTTTCTCGTAACTATTGAAATAAAAATTACGATTTAGTACTTTTGAACAGTACTCTGATGAGATACCGTGAAGCTTTAAGTCCGTAAAATATGTAAATTAATCAATCTTGTACAAATATTTCATAATGTACTATGCCTACCTAAGCATCATTATTAACGATTGGGCTTTAAGATAATCTCTGATGCCAGGTATTCCAGTGTATAAAATAATGTTCCCTTTTTGTCTGTCAAAATGATATTTGCATAAACCGAAATTAACAAGTGAAACATGTCGATATGTTCATCATTGTTTCAGACTTTTTAGTTTCAGATTTTTGAAGCATATGAAATTTTAGTGACCGTTTAATCGAATTAGCTGAAAAAGCTAAAATATAGGAATAGCTAACTCATCTGGTGAATGACATTACTTGTGCTGATACAACCAAAAAATGTCTTTCATTGGCTAAGATTTAAAACATATCTGTCGCTTTTCAAATCTATCAAATCAATTTTCTTTGATTTGGATCAATCGTCTATATTTTAGCATAAAATTCTGTAATCAAAACATCGACTTACCAGCTCTTCATAATAATCCAACAATTCACTACTTCTTCATAATAAAATATCCGGGATGTTATTCATGTTATATTGCTGAAATTTCATCAATGCTTTTTTATTACATTTTCAGACTTAAAATAGGAATGAAAACGTCAAATTACGAAGATTACTATATCATTATCTTTTAAAATAAAATTTTTTCCAATACATAATTATCATTATTATAATTACACCTACAGCTTTTGATATTAATCTATTTGGGAAAATTTAAATATCTTAATAGCAGTAATTAAAATAATGAAAAGACTAGAAGTTGTAATTTTAAATTTATTTTGTTCAAATGAGCAACTTATAATATTAACTTTTTTAATTTTCATCCATTTTTCAATAAGTCATAATTACACATAAACAAATTATCACATGCTTTTCCAATACATCAATGTATATAAACTAATCTAAAATATTGATTCGAATTAATTGTATGAATTCACTTCGCATAAAATATATTATGATGTATCATTTTACCTTTTTCGAATATTCATTACTAGTAGTCCTTTATCATTCTGATTAATTATATTGCAATAATCATCATTATAATTATGATGATGATAATTACAGCAATCATTATTCACAATATCTTTTATTAACTAGTGTATTACTCTATCATAATTATGATTTAAAATTATCATTTATTGAACTGTTAACAATTAAATTGAAGTATACATTTTTAACCTAATTAGAATAAATATTTTGTTAGGCATATTATTACGTCAAATTTCTAAAAGAATTTATTTGTTTGGCAAATTAATCATCAAATTATCATAAATTCATGGATATATTTAGCTTATGAATGATAAGTCTGAAGTGATATTACTTGATCAACTATTTGGTAACATTTCTTAAGATATTTTTGGTAATAGTATTTGAGATAATATTATTAACCTATGCAGTTCTATAGATGTTATCCATTATTTTACAACTAATTGAATTATTTCTTTATCATATTATTTTACTCATATCATTTTATTTAAAATACTAACATATTCAGTACTTAATATTATCTCACCTTTTACACTTCACAACATTCTTATAAAATGCTAAATTTTATGCAATATCTATAATAAATTAATCTTAAAAATCATTTCCTTGTTCTTTTAAATTTCAAATAAATTTTTCCACGATAAAATTTTGTAGTATAAATATAAGAAAGTAATAAAGTTAATCAAGCATATTCAATTTATGCAGAAAATTTTACTTCATGTGTGGTTGACTAAACGAAACGAATAATATGATGGAAATGAGAATTAGTATAATCATTTCAAATATTTTCTTTCTTCTTCCTTTTTTTGTTTTTCGTTAAATAATATTTAAACAGTGATATTTATTAAATTTGGAAAGAAATCGAAAATAACTTAAATGATTTATCTTTCTCTCTCTCTCTCTCTCTCTCTCTCTTCGTTTTTAAAACATTTTATTATTATTATTATTATTAGTGTCAAAGAATACGTGACAACAATTATACGGCTATATATTTTCTTTAATTTAATAAAAACTTAAAAATTAAAATAATAATTGAATAATAATAAAATTCAAACTAAATATTCCTTTTCAATAGAAATGTTGGAAAAGAGAAGGAATAAAATTGAAAGAAATGAAATATTTTAAATGTTGTTTATATTTTTGATTGTAAAAATTTAATTATTCATAAATTTTATTTACCTATTATTTTATTTTTCGTAAATGTATCAATAACTTTTAAACAACTAATAACATTTTGCAGGTTATTTACTTTGTTAACTTGTTTACTATTTCAAATTGATTTTTGCATGTATTTCTGTTTTCTCAATAATCTTTCAATAAATTTAGTTTAAAAGTATTTAATTTAAATTTCCTTTAACATTTGAAATAAACGGAAATAGATGAGAAAGAAATGTTGTTGTGGGGATATCGTGATAAAATAAAATTTTGAATTCAAATTTAACAAAACTATTTTATTTAGTTGATTAAACAATGAAAATTAAAAAAAAATAATTTTCGAACAGATCAATAATTGAATGTTTTCCCATATTATTTATTTATATTTTTAACACTGATATTACTTATCTGTAACTATCATTTTTTGCATTATAAATACTGTATATAAATGAAAAGTGTATTCGAATAAAATTCAAATATTGTTTATCAAAGAAAAAAAAAACAAAATTAAAAAGAAAACAAAAGTTTGCACCCTTTAATTATTGGAATGTTAACTCAGAATAAGATATGATAAAGGGTGAAAGGTTATTTATAGTGACCAACTAAACAATATATTTCTATACTGCTTTAAAAGAATTGAAATCAAATATTTTATTTTCAAAAATTGCATAGGTAGAATTCATTAAAATTGACTTTTTTTAGAATTCGTTAAAATCGATTTTTTTTTTATGGAAAAATTTTAATTGCAAATTTAAGTAAACAAATTTTTCAACTGCATCTCTTATACAGTTTAATATGCTAATGAAATAGTAATAAATTTTGCTATGTAAAAATTTTTACAATTGGTAAATAATTTAGATGAAGTTTTAAAAAAGTAATAATAATAATTGTATTACTGTAGAGGAAATTACTTACAATACTGTATAGCACTAATTAATATTGTATTAATATAAGTTTAATTTTTCTGATATGATAAATTGATTATTAGCTTGAGATTAAGTAAAAAAAAACGGCTATCCTCTCTAATTTTGTTTATTTGATCAAAATTACTTGTTGAAATTTGAAATTTAAAATTACGACGTAACACATTTTGAACTTCAATATAATACCTCTATCGAAATATTAAAAGAAGGTGTTAAGCATTAACTGCATTTTGTTGATTTTCAAATTAGAAAATTATGAAGTTGAAAAAATAAATGATAATGATAATATTTTATATATATATATAAAATACATATATGTATATAGACAGATATCTCAGTTTATGCATTCATTGACTGAAATTAATATTTACGTGAAATTTATAATTTTTTATGTGATAATTTATAAATCAAATTTTCCTTTATTATATTAAAAATTAATACTATGAATAATAAAGAATTCCCTCTAAGCGGAATAATCTGTTGATTTTTTTCACGATATCTAAATGCCTTCTGTTTTTCATAACAAATTCTTTTCTTTTAAAGTAACATTCATTTAATTACCATATGAAATTTACTTCCAAAGCAAATATTTTCTTCTTTTTTTTTTTTTTAAAATCCATCTAGTAAATTTACAAAAATTTCTTCGTTCAAATTTGAAGAGGCAATTATTAAATACATTGTGGTGATACTTGAAAAAAATCATTTTAAAATTTAAATTTAACTAAAAATTGTTTTTATTTAAACAAAAAAAAAAAAATCGTTTCATAACAGATGTTAAGTTTAACATTTTATTAGCTTATGCTAATAACATAAATATTACACAATTTATTTTTTTTTTTGTTTGAAAATATTTCGCAATTAATCAAATAAATGATAAACAAAAGGAAAAAAGAAATGAAAAGATTGAAAAGATAAATATTGCATGCAGAATTGATTAAAAATATAAGCAAAAATTTTAAAATTGAAAAAATTTTTTAATGCCAAATTTTTCGCATAATTTGTTTTTTTTTTACATTTTGTATGAATTGATAAAAAAATTTTTCCTGATTTTAACATATGTTTAGATTTTTCAGAAAATTTAGAAAATAATAAATAATAATGATAATGATAATGAAAATAATAATAATAAATAATAATGATAATGATAATGAAAATAATAATAAATAATAATGATAATGATAATGAAAATAATAATAAATAATAATGATAATGATAATGAAAATAATAATAAATAATAATGATAATGATAATGATAATGAAAATAATAATAATAATAATAATAAATGAATTTAATAAACGAAGAAATAAACCAATGAATAATTAAGCATTTAATCTCATTTTGTTTTATGAAAAAGAAGTGATTAAAATAAAATTAATTTTTTTTTCCAATTCAAAATTATTCATAATATTGTACGATAATTATTGTTTTCTTTTTATTATTTCTCTTGTTTTCCTTACTTTATTACTATAATATATTAATTAATCTAATTTTTCAACATTTTATTTTTAATAGCAAAATAAAAATTTTTGCAATGAAACGATTATTATATGATACATTTTCTGCTCTTTTTTTTCAAATTTTTCAACGTTAATGCCAATTCAATCTAACAAAGAAGAAAAAGAACGATAACATAAAGCAAATGTATTGTTTTAAGTAAAATTAAAATTTCTAATTATATTAAAATTTTTGTTAAAAAAAAGCTTACAATTTTTTTAGTTATCTTATTTCTTAAAATATGATAAACATTCTGTAAACAATAATATGTATTATTAATAATAATGAAATTAATTATAAAAGAATTAAATAAAATAAAAGGAATGAGAAAAAAAAAAAAGAATTAGCTAAATATAAGGAAGGGTTAAGGGAAAAGGGGAAAAAAACTAATTTACTAATTTAAATTTAGTAAAAAAATAAAACAATACTTTTTAATTTAAATCTATTTCAATAAAAAATGAACAATTTAATTTCGGAAAAACAAAGCTATTAACAAAAATAAGAAAAATTGTTGAATTGGATAACATTCAGAATTATTATTTCTATTATCTTAAAACGAATAATTATAACATATGGTTTTATTTTTTTTTTTTAGCACCTCTTTAAATTGTAATATATAGATGATAATAATTAATCAATTCATGATAAATTTTATCAATTTTTATCATCGAATTTTTCAATTCATTTTAATTTTTTTGTTTCATCAATTAAGAGAAAGATGAAAATGATGATTCAACTTCCATGTATTATAATATTAATAATATAAACATAATATGTGATTGCTTATTTTTGTATGGATAGGTATGCTTTATGTAATAATAGGAATAGGGTCTACTGATATTTCAATATTTTTCTGCAACAAAAAAATATTGAAAAGGTTTGTTGTATTATATTTTAGAAAAGTTTTTTGCTTTTTAAGAAAATCAAAAAGCAAAAACCAAAAAAGGAAAAAATGAAATGAAATGAAAAAGGAAGAGAAAGTATAAATGGAAACAAAAAGGTGTGATAGGAAGGAAGAAAGAAAGGCCAAAATTTTTCAATAATTTTAATTCATTTAAAACAAAAATCAATTTCAACAAATTATACTTTCTTTTTTTTTTTCCTTTTGTTTTTAAACAATTAATTGAATTTTACCAAATCAAAAACAACAACAACAACAACAAAATTCAACCACCGATCATTTATTTTTTTGAAATATATAAGAAGGAAATGAAAAGTGGTTGAATGCTGAAAATACGTCAAACAATATGGTTTTTGCTGATTCAAAAATGGTTTCATCCTGAATCATCCAATCTTTTCTTTCAAATATAAATATAAATAAATATACATAAAGAGAGAGAGAGAGAAAGAGGGAAAGAAGTAAAAAATGAAAACGAAAAAGAAAAGAAGATGAAGGAAAGTTTCTTATGCCAGCCAACTCTATAAGACAAGAAAGAACAACAATACAATTTAGATTCAAAAATGTATTCCTTTTCTTTTTTTCCACCTTTGAAAATGATACAAATTGCAGTTTTTGCTATAAAACAATTTTGTTTTTCAAAAAAATAAAAAAAATAAATAAATAAATAAATAAATAAAAACTTCTCGTTTCATTCTCTGCTATGTATCAAATGGTAAAAAGCATATTTCTATCATCATCATTTTATTCTACCATCTTAAGCTTCTTCAACAAATTGATGATATTTCTTTCATTTTTCATTTTCAATTTATTTCATATTGTTTTTTTTTTTTATCCTAAAAGAAAACGATAGGTCATGATACGGTAGGATATGATATGATACGATATAATACGATACGATACGATTTATGAGATAAAATATTTCATACAATTATTGTTGAAAGTATTTTAGATTAGTAGCATTTAAATTTTCAAATATATTGTAATTGTTTTTTTTAGAATTAAAGTTCTCCCTAATTCATATATTTTTTTTCGACAAAATTAGCATTATGTACAGTAAGAAAATTTTTAATCAGTTGCTTAATTTCTAAAATAATATTGTAATGGATAAATTTATTAATTGCAATATTTTAATTTGGAAATAAATGAAAGCAATAATTTCTATTTTCTTTTTGCAATTAATTAAAAGTCCGAGAATGCTTTCCTGAGTTTGTTCGGCACGTGGGTAAACAATTTCATTCCTACTGGCCTTTCAAACTCTGGGAAAACCGCGGATTTCTTCGACAAAAATTTTAAAGGATTTAATTTTTCAATCGTAATTCTCTTTGATTGGTTGCATTTGATTCTGATCATCAATTGAATATATTACATTGCTCTAAGAAGGGAATGATTTAAACTGATCATTAATTAGGTAAGCTTTCTTTTTCAATTTTTTTTTTCTATCAGTTAAATTTTTAATTTGCTTATCAAACTAAAAATTTAATTCCTCTTTTTTTAATCCTGAAATAAAATTATTTTTTAATGTTTAAATGAAAGAATTTTGATTTATCATTTAGGACGTGATGATTTTTCATTTGCAGCTATTTGTTTTCTTTTTATCAAAGTATCGCAAAATTAAGGAAGTAAATTTGATCAAACAAATCATATTGAATAATATTGACTTAAACTTGCTTCTGTAAGGTGATTTACCTTTCAACAAAACTTAAAAAGCAATTTATTCAGCTTTGATGTATTTTTTCTTTTGTTATCATTGTTTTTTTTTTTTGAAGTGATAAATTTAAAATAATATTAAAATTAAATTCGATTTCATTTCAATTATACTAATCAAAAATTTCAACTGTAATTATTTCAAGCGAATAAAACAAATTTCATTTTTTGCATTTTTTTTTTTAGCCTGAAATTTTTTTTGGAATTATTCCATATACTATGTAAAACTAATTAATTAGAAAGTGTACAGAATTCATGCAAAAAAAAAAATAGCAATACAATTAATTAAAATTTCATTTCCACACTGCAAATATTTAATCTTACAGCGTTTCAAAGATAAAATAATCATCGCAAAGATTAAAGTGACTCATAAATTAACCGATTATTGCATGAGAGAGCATAATTCAAATTCAATCTTAACATATATATATATATATTGCTACTTTGAGAAGAATTAAAAATCGAATATTAAATTTCATTTTCATCGATAGTTGGATTAAAAGTAAAACAAAAAAAAAAAGCTAATGATACTATTAATTAAAATATAAAAATATCATTTAAAAAAAATTTTTTGATACAAAAATACGAATTATTCAAAAAAAAAACAAAATTCACATAAATTTTGTTTATTTTTAAAAAGTTGGAAATTTTGTTTAAAATAAAAATTATATATTAAGCTGTCAATAATATTTTGTTTTTGGTGAAAATTAGGAACAAATAAAAGATAAGTCGAAAAGAAAAATTATGCATCTATTCGAAATAGAAAAAAATGAAATTTTCGAAATTTTGAAAAATCAAAAATTATATACATATTTATAGTTATCAAATCATTAACAATTTTCTGTCACTGTTTTAAATAATATCATTATTTCTTTTTTTTTTTTTTACTTAATTTATTATTAAAATTTATTCGTAAATTATCCTCCCACAAAAAAAATATATAAATAAAGATATTATATGTTGTTCTCTGTGATAGTTATATATGTTCTCACATGCACCTTTATGATGAATGATGCATTAATAAATAGCATAAAGGTTAAAGGTTAAGTTTATTTATAAATTTCATGAATAATTTAGTAATTCGATGATGTTGGCTGCCCGCTCTGCAAATTATACATCATTTTTTCAGTCAATTGATCAATCTCTTTATTTGTTGTTGCTGTTCGGCTTGTTTCCTTGCGTATTTCCGAAATTTTATGCGTGATTTCTGGATCATCGGTGGTCAGAGGATTTTGATGCCTGTTTGCTTCACGTTGTGATACGGTTAATCCTACAACAAATTTTTTATTTTCATTAAAATTAATATTTTTAAAGTTTTTATGAAATAAATTGAATGATAATTGTTGATTGAGCTATTTGATTGTTATTAATTTTTAAATTAATCACTTGCTTGAAAACATGCCAATTTTTCCGGTATATATTAAATTCGCAAAACAAATTAAATGTAATAACAAAAAACATGATTTGTTTTTTTAAAATTAAAAAATTTACCTTCATCTCTTAGTTGACGAACAAAATTGTTTGGGTGAACAACAGCGTTGGAACCTTTATAAGGTGGATAAGGTACATACCTGTAAATTATTACATTATTTCATTCACTTTAAATTAAAAGATTGGAAATTACAGCTTTTGCATTCAATATTAACTGCAATTAAATATCACCAGAACTACTAAGATTTAGTTATTCCAATTAGACAAGTAAAGCCTTCTAAAAGAAACTTAAGATGGGAACCGTCAAAAACCATTATGCTTAATCAAGTGTTGTTTAGGATATTTATAGTTGTTTCAGGTTTTGTCTTGTCAACACGTAGCAAAATCTACCCGATTAATTAATTCTATAAATTTCTGGAACAATTTCCAGAACTAAGCCTCAAAATTATTTAAGTTTGATGTGTCGTTAAAATATTTGCAGAGTTATAGTAGTTCACAAAAGCCGCCTAATGTTATGTATGATAATTTTATTTTTAAGACAAAAATATTTTTCTACAAAATTTTCGAAATGATACTTTTCTTCGGTTGTTGATGAATACATTTTCTTGACTGTACGTGATGTTTCAGGTATTTCGAGTATAGAAATTGGAGTAGTGGTTGCATATTGATGTATTAGTTCGCGTGGATTTGTTATCAAGTAATCTTTGGTCACATCAAACTTCCGGTATCGTTCTGATTTGATTGATTCATGCAGTACGGATCCATCTACAAATTTATAATCTACAAGAAATATTAGGAATATTATAAAGAAAATATATTAAACAAAATTTTGTAATTTATCGCTTACCCTTATTAAAACAAAAAGAAAGACAAACAAACAAATAATATTTTGTCCGGATTAACATACCACTTGAGCGACCATCGTTTTTAAATCCGTAATCACCATAATTGTCAGGTCCATTTAGTAGGTCAACACTCTGAGAACGACCTTTAACTAACCAATAATTCAACAAAAACAAAAAAGCAAACGAAAATTCCAAGCCACTCGTGTCAAATCACTAATTCATTAAAAAATTCAGAATAAAATTAATTCAAAAAAAAGCAAAGAAAAAAGATAACGAACAAAATACACAACAGCTAATACTCTAAAGTGCATTCGACAAGTTGCAACAAATATTCCGTCTAAATAATGACGTTTCTAAAGATGATCCTGAAATTCTCTGACTCCGATATGTTAGAAAATTCTGATACATGCAGATTTTTGTTCAATCTGATCTACTCTATAGCAAAATGAAGATATTTAATTTCAATTCCATCATGATTTGAATTATAAAGTAACAATTAGAATAAAATCAAGCAAAAGAATAGCAAGCGTAATTAATTTTCTGCGAATTTTTACTAAAATTTTGGACATTTTTTATGATTTTCAGAACAGATTTAAGGCTCATGCAATGTCTACCTTGTTTTGTTCGATATTTTTCATGCTATAAAATTTCTAGAAATGCAAACCTCTAGATTCACTCATAAATGGATCAGATTGTGTGAAACCATGTGTACTATGTGGATCGTGATAAGTTGGTGAGTATTGATAAGCTGCAGTTGGTGAATGGTAGCGGTAATTTGGTGACTCAATACCATAAAGATCCATACCTCGTGATCCAGCATCACAACTATTCGTACCACGTATCCCTGCACCATATCCATCTACACCTGATTTGGGTGATTCGATATCATAATTATCAACAGTACCTCGTCCTCTGGTACTATCTACACTAATATGACAAATCAACGAAAATGTGTCATTTCTACAGTGTGCAAAAAAAGTCCTTGAAACACGGCATACACAATCGTAATATTGCTGAAAAATAAGGTAGATCCAAAAATTTAGATGAAAATTTCATAATTACCGTTGTAACCACTTCGACCGCTTGGATAACCTGTGTCACCAGAACCAACATCACTTGAATAATCTTTTCCTTGACCATACGGTGTACTACCACCACTACCAGTACCATAACCGCCACCACTTCCTGGTCTTCGCTCTCCTATTCCTGCACCTTTGCCATCTGAATCTCGTTTGCCGTAACTCATACCAGGACCAACACCACTTTGTTGTCCAAATGAATCGCTATCTATAACTTATAGCTCACACTTCACTTCTGTTTTTATTTAATTTTAACTTTCATAAAAATATTTCACATTTTGATCAAACAAATAGCTAATTCCAATTTGTTCCTTTTTTCACTTTCAAAATTTGCTGAAATAATGATTTGATAAATGATGGTAAGGAGAAAAACGATGCGCTGATATCAAATTACAATTTCCATTTCGAAATATTAGATCGAATACGAACTTGAAATTGAATTTTAAGACGAAAACAAAAACCTGGTGATACGCCACCTGTCAGTCGTGAATCACGTCCGCTTCCATCATTTCCATAATCATTTCGCATATCTAAACTTACCCAGTTGAATTAAATGCAAATCAAGAACAATAAATGTTTCCGAAAGACTGATGATAAAAGTAGGATGAGGATGATAAAGCGGATAAAGAAGTAAAAAATGAATATCAACGTGATCGATCAAATTTATGCACGAAAATATGAGGTATGTCGAATATTAAATGGTTTAAATATTTCTCATAATTGTGATTTCATCACTATTAATTAAAGCAAGGAAAAGAAAAATATGTATTGGAGCAGTACGAATAATTATGAATAATTAAGAAAAATGCTAATTGACCAGATGGAATTAATGAAATTTGCGAATTAATGGAATGTACTACCACATACACTTAAAGAACATAGTAATTTGGTAACTAAATTTTTTGTATTCTAGAAATAATAGATACCATGAGTTGTTGTTCGGGTATAGATGTTGTAACCATCATGGCCAGGTTCACCTCTGTCCAGTGTTCTGCTATGTGTCACCGTAATTTTTGGTGATAAATCTTTTGGAGCACGTTTCAATTCAACACCATCCGCAGCAACAACACCGTCACCAATCGGTGAATAATACAAACGACGCGGCTTTAATGAGCGAGGCAAATGTCCCGGATCGGTAATAATCTAAAATAATCGAAAGAAAATCATTAAAATAGATTTACTTTATCAGCTACAAAACGGAAACGCTTCGAAATAAAAAATCTTAAAATCCTAATTTTAGAACTTACTTCACCACCATGCCATTTCGTAGGCATGAATTCTACTCCAGAGCCTGGTCGATCACCGTATCCTGAAAATCGACTCCTCTCATCTTCTTCACGTTGCCGTTGTGACGCATAACTTCGAGAGCGTGCTGTTTCATACCGGTTGTAATCATTCTGCAAAAATTTTAGCCCTAATATTGAAGCTTTGGTCAATTGCAATTTCCTTAATTTCTTTTATTGATAGATTTAAATAGCAAATATTTGATGAAGAAACAAAAAGAATCGACAAATAAGGAAAAATAGTCAAATTTCAAAAATAATATACCGGATGCTTTCCATATGATTGATAATTGCTACTCGGATTATATGCCGGAAATTGATTATCACGACGTCGATTCATATATCCAGTGTTTTCATTATTTGACATCATGTTAGTGCTACCGTTACTATTGTTGTTGTAATTACTATATAAATTATAAAATTTGTCGAAAGTGCTCGAATTTTTTAGGTTATTGGTCGGCGCAGACCAGTTTGGTGATAACGAAGATGTTCGACGGATTGTTCCTCCCAACTGATCAACGTCGTCTGACCACTTTACTTCTTTTCTGCTGCAAAAAAATATTTTTTTTTTAAAAAGTACCTTTATTCTTATCAAAATATACATGCAACGACTGATAACTAATAAACTGAAGATCATATAAAATGTATATGATTATTTGGCAATACTGATCGTTTCATATCAAATATGAGATTATGTTATTTCCTTTCTTCAAAATATCTATTGAATAGTATCAAAAAACCAAAACTATTCTTTTTAATCTGTTCCTTGAAATTTTTAAGAAAATGCCGATAATTTTGCTTAGAACAATTAATTGATTAGGGAGAAAAAAGATTCGCAAAGGAATGAATAAAATACAATGGAATTTACATTAAAATTTTCTTTTTTTTTAAAAACAATAAGATCATTATTGAAAACAATGAAGTATCTATTGAAATTGACAGAATTCGCATTAAAATCTTTTATATCTTAATTTATCCAAATGAAATTTTAATGAACATCAAAGATCGATATCTCATATGGGATGAGTTTGAAGAAATGAGAAGTTTGTGTCTAAGCGGTAAACAAAATTTACACATCAGACTTACCCTCTGTTAGGAGATGCGGATAATGTTTCGTAGTTCCGCTGATACGAGTTGGATCGATCTCCTCCTTTATCTTTCGCCCAAGTTGATGAGTCACCTGTTCCTGTTGCAAAAAAAAAAACTGAGAAAAATTTTACTCTAATCATTTTCAATTTGTAATTGTAAAATTTAGTCAGTAAATCAATTTTGGCACTTATCATCTATCACCAACTAGTAACATTTAATATCTTATCATATCGTTTTAATTTTAAGCTCTTTAAAATTCATGTTAATAAAATTTAGGTTAATTTCATTGAAGATTACTGTTATTTGTATTTTACAAGTATAGCAACCATTGGAATATTTGATAAAAATTTATAATGATATGATAAAAATTGATTAGTTCAAAATTTATTTTTTCCTTTAAATCAATTGATTATTATAAAATGGAAAAAGATATGCCATCTAATAAAGTTAGTAAATAGAAATAATCAAAAGTAGAAATTCAACAATTTTACGAAATATTTTTGTCAGTGCTTTGTACACTAACAAAATTGTCAAGAAAGAAATAAATGGAAAATTTTTTCAGAATATTAAAATAAATTACTTAAAAATATATCAGCCAGAAATTATCGTATAAACTATATGATGCTTGTTGTTGCATAGCTAAGGAAGAATAGTTAAAGTAATACGGAAATTATTGTATAAACTAAATGATACTTGTTGTTGTTGTTTGCATAGCTAAGGAAGAATAGTTAAAGTAATACGGAAATTATCGTATAAACTAAATGATGCTTGTTGTTGTTGTTTGCATAGCTAACGAAGAATAATTAAAATAATGCGTTAAAAAAAAATAATAACTTTAGAAAATTATTTTTTAATTAAAAAAGCAATCAAATATCAATGGAGAAAGTAGTAATTAAAATTAACCAAAAATTAAACATGCATTTCGTAACATTATATTTATTTTAAAATTCGAAAATTCAAGAATTCAAAATGCAAAATTAAGCATACCTTGTGAACTTGGTGAACGTAAGAGATAGGAATTTTGATCGATAAAACGTTGTAATTCGTCTTTTTGTGATTTCGAAAGTTCGTGCTGATTTAAAAGGTGACACTCGTGTTCAAAATTCTAAATTAATTCAAACTTTTAAATTAAACCAAAAACAAAAACAAATTAAATTATTTTGAGCGAAAGAAAAAGAATACAAAATATGTGTGTTAAATAATGATAACGAAATATAGTTATAAAATTTTATCATAATATAGTGATTAACAAAATGTAACAAAACATACGTTTTAAAAAGTTTTAACATATGTTAGGAAATTTCTTATTACATTTACTACATGTGAAAAATGATGTATTTAATATAGGCTAATTAAAATGATACTATTTATTTTATTTTACTTACTAACTTTTTCCATTTCATTTTACTTACTAACTTTTTCCATTTCATTTTAATTTCATATTATCAAATATCTTATCATTAAAAATTATCTATTATGAAAAGAAAAAATAGTAACTGAAATGATAACTAATATAACTGTCATTTATTAATTTTATTATAATCAAATTATCTTATCATAAAGAATAATATATTATGAAAAAAATATATTGTAACTGAAATGATAATTAATATAATTATCATTTATCAATTAATTAATGAAAAATATTTTCTAATCATGCAAATCTATTACCATGCATTCCATTCATATTTTAAATGAATATTAGTCAAATTGAAAACGAAGCTATAAAACGACAATAAATGTATGCAAGAATTCAGGATATTCTTTTCGTTATTTATTTCATCTCTTTTCTCTTCTTTTTTTTCCTTCACCCTCTTATCACCAGCTTTTTCTTTTTTTCTTTTGCTTGTTTATATACTACTCAAGAAATGAAATAATGATGATGAAGGAGAAAGTGTAAATATTAGATTTCATCAAAATGTGTACTTTCTAAAAACACAACTTGTCATCTAACAAATCATTTGTTGCATTGTTACATTAAATGAATTATTAGCTATACTATTATTATTACTACAAGTTAAGTTATGTAAGTAAGTAAATAAGTAAGTAAATATAATGCATTTAATATAAGTAAAAATATATATATAAAAGAAATGGAAAAACATGCTCAAATATTATTTACGATAAAAAATTTTACAAATAAATAAGAAAATATTTTAAGTGTAAATTACGTAAATGAACAAAAACAATAAAGAATGAAGGAAAAAACAATTGGCTGATTATAAGTGATAAAGCAAAAAGAAAAGGAAGATAAATGATTTCTAAAATTGAAAAAGACTAAAGTTATGTAAAGGTATATATCTAAAATTATCAAATGATATTAAGAGCTGATAAACAAGCTTTGAATGATTTGAATTTTTTTGATAGGGGTGGGAATATAACGAGAATATTAAATGAAAAAGGGTGGTTGGTATTTGTTGGGAAAAAAAAACCTATCATTAATTCAAATTCTTTTCATCTATTAAGTTATAAAAACAAAGAAAAAATTTCTTTTTAATTACTTAAAATTATTTTCAGAATTTATTTAACAAAAAACAAAAAGAAAAGATTCGATCGAAAAAAAAATTGAAAATTATATTAATAATTTCATGCATGCTATATTGTTGCACGACATGATAATATATCATTGATAAGAGAAAATATGTAATAGTGATAATATGATTTGATGTATATTTTAATTGCAGTTTACTTTTGAGCTATTATAACTTATGTTGAAGTGTTTGGGATAATACATCATTTCATCTTCCTTCATGCTTCTTTGTTTAATAGAAAATTATAGCTGATAATGATAAAGTTTAAATAGTAATTGTTTATTATAATTTTTTCCTGCTACTCTCCAAAATGAACAAGAAATGAAAATTAGGCATATTTTGTAATAATTTAGAAAATTCCATTTCATAATTTAATTCAATGTGTAATGTATCGCATGAAGAAATTTAAAGTATTATCTATCTAATTGAACAAAATTTTCAAATGTTGATTTAATTTAGAAAAAAAGAAAAAAAACAAATAAATTAATCAATTGTAAAATAAATCACAAAATGAATCATCATCACTATCAATCATCATCATTATTATCATCATCATCATCATCATCATCATCATATCAAACAAACAAACAAAATCCATGCATTATTATTTGGATAAAAATGAAATTGAATAAACTGGTGCAGAGAAATCATTTATAAAATCATTCACTAAAATCTTTTACAATACCATTCTATCTTTATCTATATCTATGTGCAATCATTTAAAACAATTCTGATAACAGATAAGTATGATGGAATTTTTTAATTCTTCTAAATTATAAATACTAAAAGTTTTTTGGAATTAATGCTTATCATTTTATATTAATTTTAAATTTCCATTTTCTTTTTCTCTTAAAAAATAAATGTTTTCATTTCTTTATTAATTATTTGATAAAGAAAATGAAAAGTGATGTATAGATTTTGAATTGATAATCATCTAATAATATATATTATTATGATATTTGGGGAATGATTATTTTTTTGGTAGTATGGAATTAAGGAATATAACTAACGCTGTTTTCCACAGTCATTGATAAATTTAGTCGAAGCTCACTGATTTCGCGGTCACCATGCAATCATAATTCATCTTAAAACGTTACCATTTTAATGAATTATGTTATTTACACGTTGAATAATTTACACGTTCAATTATCTTTGAGCAATTATCATATAATTTATATGTTATATCATTAGAATTTGTTGAATTATTAGTAATTAAATTATTAGTAATTAATTTTTGCTATTTCATTTTCATTTCTTTTATATTACAAAATAAATTAATCAGCTAATTTTTTCTTCCTTTTTTTTTTAATAATTAATAATAATTAATAAGAATGAAACTTTGAAATAATTCTATGCAACTAATCATTGAATATTACAATTCTTATTCCGATATCTCTAAATCGGACACACATTAAGCTTTGGTAATTGATGATTGATCGAGAATGAATAATGATCGTATTTTGTAGAAAAAAAAAAAAGAAATTATTTTACGAGTGTAAGATAAATCGTAAAAACCGGAATTAATTAATCAAATCCAACAACTAACACTATCTGGCATTTTTGCTTAAAAATGTTTCGAACAAATTAAATTGAGGATAACGAAGAAAAATGTTATCAAAACGAAATTATTGCTTTACGGTTAATTCAAAATGTCGCAATCCTAATTTCTGATTTCTTGACCTCAATAAAATAGATATGGTGAAAAATGTGTCACTTTTTTTTTGAATGAATAGGTTGTTGCTAATGAAAA